ATGCTCCTTAACCTCCTGCCTGAGGGGAGTGGGCAAAAAGTGTGTGTGCTGGGTGAGTGAGGTCCTTCATGATGCAGGTGGCTCTCTTCCTGCATCTGGAGGTGTAGATGTCTGTGATGGTGGGTAGCCTGACTCCAACATCTTCTGTGCAGCCTTCACCACTCTCTGCAAAGCTTTTCTTTCTGCAGCTGTGCAGCCTCAATACCACATGTTGATGCTGGAGCACAGGATACTCTCCACTGCACACCTGTAGAAGGAGGTGAGGACTGAGCTTTCCAGACCAGCTCACCTCCTTCTACAGGTGTGCAGTGGTCTGCCATTCTCAATGTTCCAATACATATTGAACATTATTATTGATATTGTTTATCTTGCTTCTTTATATATTGTTTTTAACATTTAGGAACTTTTGTGTTAATCTTTTTATCCGTTGCTGCTGATACACTTGAATTTCCCATCCATGGGACAATAAAGGTTATTTCTATTCTATTCTATTCTATTCTATTCTATTCTATTCTATTCTATTCTGTTCTGTTCTGTTCTGTTCTGTTCTGTTCTGTTCTGTTCTGTTCTGTTCTATCCACACATTTGGATTATTGTAAGTTTTTTTACTTGTTTAAACAAAACCTGTTGGTCTCGTCCTCAGTCTGTGCAGAAAGCTGCAGCAAGGTTATTAACTAAGACCAACACAAGGGCTTATGTTACGCCAATTTTGGCCTCTCTGCACTGGCTCCCAGTGCATTTGAGGAGTAATTGAAAAATTTTTGTCCTAACCTTCAAAGCACTTCATAGTCAAGGCCCAAAATACATTTTGAACCTTTTGGACCCTCCATCTCCCTCCAAAACACTGAGGTCTTCAAGTCCAATGCTGTTGGTGGTACCACATAATCGTTTCAAAACCCGTGGAGACCGAACATTTTCGGTGATGGCCCCAAGGCTTTGGAAAGCTCTTTGACTGACCCTTTGCTGTTCATACTCCATTGACTCAACAAACATTTAAAGGCATTTTTATCTAGACAGGCATTTTCCAATTTTTTCTCTATTTTTAATTGTTTTAATTATTTTGTTTTCTGTGAAGCACTTTGTGATGCCGTGTCTGTGAAATGTGCTATATAAATAAAATTTACTTGCTTACAAGCTGCTTTACTGGGGCAGCTGTGGCTGAGTGGTTTGAGCAGTCGTACTCCAATGAGAGGGTTGGAGATTCAATTCCACCAGAAGTCACGTGTTGAAGTGTCCCTGGGCAAGACATTGAACCCCTCATTACTATACCATACCATACCACTTTATTTATAGAGCACTTAAAACAGCGACAAGGCCAACCAAAGTGCTGTACAGACAAAACAACAGGTAACACACAAAGCAAAATACAAAATAAGGTAAATCAGAATATAGACATAAAAACGATGCAGATAATCATGACTAACCAGTGTGGAGCATACAGGATCAAAACACAGATCATCTGGTGTTGAAAGCTACTGAATAGTAATGAGTTTTTAAACGGGACTTGAAAACCGAGAGGGAGGGGGCCTGTCTGACAAGCAGAGGTAACTCGTTCCAAAGTCTTGGTCCTGCTACAGAGAAGGCCCTATCACCTTTGTGCTTAAGACGAGTTCCTGGAACTGTGAGGAGCAACTGGTCCGCTGAC